CACCTAGTTCGCAACTGACTGTATGACCGTCTATGTACAACTCAAAATTGCATAATTTGCCCCAATGGTAAGGGCGGTGATTGCATGAGCTGCGATGCGATGTGCTGCGGGATTCATAACCCACCAAGGGTCGCCCAGGTTTCGCCCAGGTTCTGGCGTTTCCATCAGAACCCCCAGTTAAGAATAAACCAATATCAGTATCGAGCAACGTCCTGGTATCAAATTACTCGCATGGCGGCAAATCTCCCTCTTATCCACAAGGGTGGCGGCTGCGTGTGGTAGTGACGACCTACGGCAGACTTTGGTCAATCTGACCTCGAGACCTCAGAAGAACACAATGGCCAAACCAGCAAAACTTCGAAAAATGGAGAGTATGCTGGCACTAGCACAACCAGTGAGGACAGGTCGTTCAAGCGTTTAAGTATCCAAATACTTGGGACACGTTAGTAAACCACTTTCTTTTGGCTTATTAGAGATAGTGTAAACCTGATTATCTAGGTTCCTGCACTAATTTCATTTATCTGAGCTTAAAGTGTTCCCACGAGAGTGGCACAGCTTTCTAGATTCGACTACGCTTCAGTAAAGCAGGTATAAATGGAGAAATACTATTGTAAGAGTATCGACGATTTATCGAAGCAAATGACCTAACCTTGGATTTATTCTTGCTTCGGAGGATATTACTTTTTCTCTTAAAAAGCCAAATTGAAAACATCGGTCATTGCCAGTGTTGAACGGTGTTTTAGATTAGTTTTCTAATTTATCAATCTGTTCAGTGAAAATTTCAGCTAATTAGTAGGCTCGACACAACGGTGGGTTTTTCGGACGATAGAAGCGTTACCGCACGCCTTTGTCTATATCGTACTCTCTACTACGTAGATGATGAAGAATGGACCAAAAATGTGGCGCAGTGGTCGGAGTCGCCCTGCAACACACACGTGCAAACGATTCCCGCTCCCAAGGCCCACCAAGTCTTCCATCCCTCCAGAGTGGGCAAATTGGCACCAGACTTGTTTGGCCGGATAGCAGCAGTGTCTGGGAACATCAGTAGGCTACAGCGAGTCATTGTAGAAGCAAGATATGCATTCAATCATCTCAAACGATACTTAATGAAGTCAAATGCATAGCGCATCCTTGAGGGATTGAGAACGCCGAGAGTTTCATCCTTTATTATTTATTTATAAGACGGTACACTGCCATCAGCAACCGACTCTTATAGCGTAAATATAAAGTATAAACGACGGACAATGAACGGCGAAGAACAATGAGATTTCCTGAAACTTGGCTTCATCCACATTTATTCTTGTCTGTTTTCTAAATTTATTTATGTCTCATGCATGCTGATCAGATTTTCTTGACTAACCAGGGAGTTTCACACAGCTTTACCCATCTTATTATGTCCTTGCACAACAATGTTAGTCAATTTTTACTGAAGTCGTAAATGGATAGTTAGTACCATGCAATTAAACCTTTGCTTGACTTTTTTCTGTTTATTCCCGCTATTACTTTTGTAAGAGATCGTTACTTAAAGCACTAGTACATTTCACACTGAAAATTTAAAACGCTTCAAATTTTCACAAACGTAGCAAAATTAGTCAAAGTGAAAACCATTAAAGTATTCGGGTTTTTGAATGCAAGAGATTCTGGTATCACAGAAACCCTAAGGTATAGAATCGAGAAATAGTTTTACGTGATACCCTTCTGTGGCATGGTTCTTGTAACGTTTTTCTCTGAAAGTTGTTGTCGAGATGCTTTAAAAGTAGTGATCGAATAGGAAGAAGCGCGGCAACTACACCCGATGAGGCAATGCGATAGCTCAATTCGCTCTACTGGTACTGATTAGTACTGGTTGAACATTGTGCGGTCGAACTTTCTTTTGCAAAAAAGATTACACTTTTCTAGTGGTAAATGCTAGCTGGAAGAAGCGTAGTTTTTATAATTCTCTGGATTGACTTCTTATTAATCTCGGAACCGATCAGCAATTTCTAGTTTTTTTTTTCTTGAGTAGGAGAGACGTAATCATTAACAAGCTTTATTCAACACCGCTTAACGTTTCAGACGTTTTGCTTCTTCAGAGCAAGGTGCGACCAAGTTGACGCTCAGTATACTCACAGAAACATTTTCTGAGACTCAGCAGAGAAATTTCGAAGTCTCAATTTCAATCTCATGAGAAACGACTTCCCTTTAACTCGCCGTTCCGCTTTTTCTGAATATTTCACTTGCTAACAGAAGAAAGCTGCAAAGAGTTGACGTGTGTCAGGAACATACTTTTCTCAGACCTCTTCACTTCTCGTTCATCTCGAGTGGCATCCATGGAGATTTTTCATCATTCGAATGTCTCTAGAATCGCAGGTTCTAAAAGATTAGTTCCTATTGTCACCTTAACATGGTCTTTGTTCATTTGTTGATACGAGCGCAGAACTTCACTGCCCATTAAGATTTATACATTGCGGAAGAATTATTGTTATGTGTAGCACAATGGTCGGAGGCGCCCTGCAATAAACATTGGATCGATATTTGCGCCCTATGCTCACCAAGCCCTCTATCCTGTCGGGGTGGGCAAACTGGTATCATACTTGCCTGGAAGGATAGCAGCGTTGGCTCTAAACATCGATAAGCCGCCGCAAATCATTGCAAAGTCAGATATGCATTCAATCGCCTCTGATCAACTCATGGGGCTTTTTCATTTATCCTTTTATTTACATTGCGAAAAAAATTCTTTAAATAAACAGCGGTATTTCAGGCTATCAGCATCATGTTGCGATCAGTTGTGGACTCATGAAACAAGAGGATGCGATTTCAACATTTTTTTTCTTCTCTTCGATCGCATCGTTTAAGCTTGCTCAGAATACTTATTTATGTGATCTTATAAACTGATCTTCTTAAGCTGACGCGAGGTTGGTACAGATCTTCGTTGTCGTTGTCGTTGTTTTTGATGTTGTTGGTCGACGGCTGATGATTCGGCGACTTCGCCTTCCTCAGAGACGTGATGTTACGTGTGGGACTCGAGTTATCGAGTTATTAAGAGATGTTCCTGCTCAGAATATTTGTGAAATAAATACTGAGGAATGCTAGATAATTAGATGAAGAAGAAGCTTTAAATCTAGGTGTAGCATGTATCTAAGCAGTAAATCATCGGTACAGAGTATTGTCGTGAATTCCGCAAAACCAAAATGTGAATTACTGTTTCGCGCCGATTTCGACACATTTTTCTGGACCATCTATGACGTCGAAAATGAGCTCCACTTGTCGACTTATTCATCATCAGCGAATATTGATGAATCTGAGATTGATTATTAGGCAATGTTATAAATTTCGTACTAACGTTTGTTGTTTTCTCTAGTGATGACCATGAACTGGTTTTTGTTTAAATTTCTGCAGCAAAGGGTTTTTGGAAAACTTGTCAGTTACTCTTGCCGAGATGTTACATAGAAAAACCCACGAATAAGTGAAGAGTACGATTTCGCTTACAGCTATACGTGCCACCATAATCACACGACCTGAGATGACATCGTAGCTCATCGTAAATTGTTCCGATGATTTACAGCGACAAGTAATCCTTAGCAAATCAAAGCTCTTCCATTTGCAACAGCTCGCTAGTACAACGGTTCTGCGCAGCCTTGCACTTTCTCAATCTCTTTGGTCTTCGGAGTTTTGAGTTTCAAGAAGTCGATTCTTTCAAGGAAGCGTGTGGCAGATAGCGATTTCGTTTTTTGCTCTGTACATAACATTGATAACTATCTTTCTTCTGAGATATCGCCTTATTTTCGACTCATAATAGATTATTGGTTCTAGGTGTTCAGCTCTTCTTCATTAGTTTTCCTATCATTTGATAGATTGAATTTGCATGTACTGGATGGCGAGATTATTAAAAGTGCTATGTACGGATTCAGTTCTCGCTTTAATATTCTTATCTTTCGTTTTCCGGATTTTTCCAATAGTTGTCTGCACTCTGGCTATCGCCTATTCGTTTTTTTTTTCATTGGTTCCGATGTTTGCTGGATACTACAGCAGCTTTTCTCACTACCGAAACTATGGACAATGTTAAGTGGATCTGGTTCTCAGGTCAACCGAAGCCCTTTTTGTTTATACTACAACTAGGAGTGATCAGGAGTTGGGGTTCATGAAATAAATATTAAACAGATGGCATTATGTTGTTTGATTAATGATGGCTGATAAATGTGAAAATATGAATTGTGTTGACGATTCGAAAGAATGAAAACACTCTTTTGTTATCGCACTTACTCGTTCTCTCCATCTTCCCTTCAACGATAGACGTAACAATCTATAGCCCTCGTTTCTTTTCGTCGTGTTTCGTTCTCACTCGTCATCAACATCGTGGCCTACAATGAAATGATTTCTGTCGATGATCTCGATTTTAATATAATTTTCCCTAAGATTTGTGTAGTTTCGTTATTTGTCATCTTGCAATTCTACTTTTACGACCAGATTTCTACCGCTATAGTTTGTGTTAGGCGTGTGTGTGGGGCAGTGGTAGGAGGCGCCCCACAGCACACAAGTGGAATCCATTCCTGCACCCATGGCCCGCCAAGGCTTCTATCTCTCCGGGGTCGACAGATTGGTATCAGACTTGTCTTATAGGATAGCACCACTAACTGGGAAAACTGGAAACATCAATAGGCTACAGCGAGTTATCGCAAAGGCCAGATATGTAGTCAATCATCTCCAACGATGCTTGATGAAGTCGAATGCATGGCACATCCGTCAGGGATTTATTAACGCCGGGAGCTTTATCCTTTATCCTTCTATTATAGTTTATGCGTCATGTTATGCAATATAGGTTATCTTTGTATTCTTTTGTTCCTTATACTGAAAATATCAGAACGTCATGTCATCTGCCTATAATCTCATAAATCCGATTTAGTGAGCTTAGTCGTGCTTGTATTTTATCTAAAGCCTTCGATGAATTGATTTCCTATTTGTTTATACTACTCTCTAATCGTTCCTTATTATCAAATGCGTTCTCTAATATGCCATAGAAAATGACATCAGCTACTGGTCCACTGAAAAGCGTCGCTACGACGGCAAAACGGATTTTGATGTGCCGCCCTACCTACTTTCAGGTAGCTTTGTACTACCTCTACCCACAACTGTTCTTGTGCATAACAAAAACGACGCTTACAAATCATAAATGCTGCAATAAATTTTCCATTATCCTATTTATTCAGTTGGCTTATTCGATAAATCCATGGATGGATATGCGACGTGGTGTGAATCGTGCCAAAGCCATGGAGCAGTGGACCACGTTGAGAACGACTCTGGAAAACTGTGGAGCCCACGTTGAAGTGATGGAAGCCGATGTAAGCATTCTCCCACTTTCGAAACGTCACGACTCGGTCCATCAACGAAAACATTGATCGTCATGCTGCACCTTAGGGTAATTCTGAGTGTTGGATTTTAAAAGTTTGAAAATTAGTGGGTCATATGAAGAGTACTACGGAACCTTTCAGTGCTTTAAATGGTTAAACAATTCATAAAATAATTGTTTATTGCGCACTCCATTTTTAGTTACCGTAAGAACTACTAGGGAAGCAAACAACAAATCGTTCGGCGTTGATCAGTCCTTCAGTGATGTGCCATGTATTTGACTCGATCAAACATCGTTAGAACTGAGTGAGGATGGATCTGGGCTATACATTTACTTTCGGTGCTTTATCGGTGTAGCAGCCCTGTGTTTTTGTTCTGCCAGGCTACTCTAGTAGCAAGTTACCAACTTCAGAAAGATGGAAGACTAAGTGACCTTAAACAAGGGAGCGCAATAGGGAGCGATCCATCCCAGAAAAGCTCTTAGGACTAGACTAGACGTGTCTTCGTCGGAAATATAGCATTTAAAAAACTCTGCTTATTCAGAAGCGGAGGAAAATTCCTCCCATTTTGTAGAAAAAATGAGGAAGCAATTCACCATCAATCAAACGTTGGAGAAAGAAACCGAACGAGACAATTTGAACAAAACTTAGTTAAGTGTAAGATCGAGGAGAATATAATAAGATGCGCCTCAAATGTCAAAAAATTCACTGTTAGTATAATTCGTTAAATTAGTTAACTTTTTTGAAGTACTATGCAACCGTGTGAAAGAAGGAGGTTTTTGAAGTGTACACTGGACGGAAAGCAGATCGTCATCAATGTTTTGATGCGTCGTATGTGTTACACACTTCCTATCACAACGATTTTTTCTTGGATAGAAAACTACATTTGTTCCAACGCGAAAGATTTTCATAGTTTACCTTAATAACTTGTCTCATGAGTAGTACCAGAGAATTCAACGCGCTTCTTCAATCCAATCAATAATGTTTTCAGCTTGTTTTATTTCACTAGCAACACAAAATTTTTCGCACCTCTATAATCTACTCCGCCTAGAATAAAAATAAATCATTTAGGGCGCCGAATCATACCCTGACCTGGTATTTTCCGCCAACGCTGCCGTTATAAAGGGCAAGCGCGCTTATCTGGCCAATTTTACTCATCCAGAACGAAAAGGTGAAAGGTTAGCGCTGATAATCATATGGATATTCACGAAGCGAACGACATATCTTGCACAGAAATCATCACTGTTAGTTTTTAGTGTTCATTTAATGTAATAATCATTTATAGTTTTAATGCTTTGCAAATCACAACAGCCAAATGTGCTATTCTAAGCATTTCTTTTATTTTATATGACCCATCTTCACGTCTACTGTGCGGATCCCATCACATCTCACATTTGATTCACTTGTTTCCATCCGCTGCATACGAAGATCCTCCAATTTTCGTGCGAAGCTTCGGTTGCTGCTTGAGGATTTTTATTTCACCTTGAACGTCGTAGAATGCTGGTCGAGTAATTCTCCCTGCAGTCCTGAGATAGCTGGAGTACAGCGTTCCGAATTAGATGCCAGAAAGTGTTTATTTCTTTCCCTGACAAGTCCGGTACCAATTTCCTAACCCGGGAGGTGTGAGAGGCTACATTGAACCAGAGCGGAATCGAACTAGCACCACGCTCGTGATGAGGAGCATCACTATCACTGTGCTATCCGCTCTCTATTCTCCATATTACTGAACCAAAATTCAAGAAAGTGGAAATTAAAAACAGAACTTGAAAAAACGTCCAGTAACAAAAACGACGTCTTTGATATTTTTAACCCATTGCTTCTTAATTCATGCACTAATACGAGAAAGTATACGTTGGCCGTTGATGACGCTTAACAATATTTAAGCGTTACTCAGCTTCATCAAAGGATGCATTTTGCTTTTACTCCTCCAAATGTAACAAGCGAAAAATCAAATAATAGAAAGCTCTACTTTTATTTCAAGTAAAACGGAATTTCTGATGAAATACAACCACAAGGTTGCTAAGTCGTCAACAAACGTCGTAAGCATGGTTGGGCTTCGAAACCACGATTATATTTACCGGGGCTCACGTGCCTTTCTCTATACCTTGCTTCCACCCTATCTTTTCTAAGAACTATCATTCCCGTTGACGACATCATCAGACGGCATCACGAGTTCACAGAAAAGGATTACTAGTTTAGGTCTCCTAAATACTACACAAATATCGTACCACCGAAAGCTTTCACCGGATGTCCCCAGTTGATTTACAAACAAGGCCTTAAGAGACTTTTTCAATAAAACGAAAGAGGAACCGTGTCCGACAAACTGTTTCGTTCAACAAAGGGAGGTTGAGCAACTCTAAGGAATCACGCTATCACCATCAGTTCAGTTGGAAACGGCAGTCGCTTCGCTGAAATACAGCGTTGAACGAACGATGACAAGAGTACATTAAAATTAGGATGCAATAAAAAAGAAAGTGCAGAGCAACAGTGAGTTTTTTAAAAAGAGCTAATGAGAGAATTATTATGACTAATGTTGAGGAAGTTGTATTCTTCAAAACGCTTCCGATGATTTAGATACTTCTTTGAGCAATGGTTCACCAAAAATGGTTTCGAATGCGTTGGTAATTTGGACATCACTTTTGAAGGTGACATTCTTAATAAAACTTTTTTAAACCTGCCGTATGAAACTAGGTTTTGGTCTTGATGCAACTATACTGCCCATTGTGACCAAAAACTATTTCTATCCATGATACACAACGTGTAATCCACTACTCACCAGGCTCCGACAAATTGAGAAGGGGTTCAACATCTGTATTTGAAGATCCTGCTATTAGCAAACCTATGCCAAGGTGTAGACTAAAGGGCTTTACGAAACAACATTTTCAGTGAAACTGCTGCAGCAAAAGTAAGGAACTTGGACGGAAAATGTTATCTTAATTCTGTCTTCTAAGGAAGTAGGGTCTAATCATCTGCACTGCTGTGAGCATGAGAGACTGATAATTCCACCGCTTCTGGCTGCCTAATAATCAATGCGCTTCAAATAAATATTGTAAAATCAGTGAAAGAATATATTTCAAAGCTGAGGATGAAGAGCAGAGGTTACGTGAGAATGGTATGTTCAGTTCACTTAATGAGCATTCTTGTTCCTGTAAATACACCTAAAGAACAAAGGATAGAGCTCTCGGCGTTGATTAATCTCCGTGGGATGTGCCGCCGTGCATTCGACTTCACTAAGTATCGTTGGAGGTGATTGAATGCATATCTGGCCTATACAATGACTCGCGGTGGCCTACCGATGTATTGGGCCAGTGTTGCTATCCTCCCAGACAATTCTGGTACCAATTTGCCGGCTCTGGAGGAATGGAAGGCTTGGTGAGCCATTGGCGCCGAGATCAATTCCATGTGTGTGTCGCAGTGGCGCTTCCAGCCACTGCGTCACGCGCGCCCTGTGAATACCACCTACTAGGAAGAATCCGTGATGGGATTGATGGTCTGAATGCTTTTGCGGAAATTAAGATGAGAAATTCTACCTAGCACCTGCAAGCCAAATTGGGTTTGATGAGACCATAAAAAATGTAAGCTTTCATCCCTATGAAATTAAAAGGTGCTATCACAAAAAGCATTCTCTATGCGTTCATAAAATTTGTTTGTGAGTTGGATCCTAGAGCAGTGTTTTGCTTCTTTAATTGAGTGATGCTTGTGTTTCCATAGATTGTTTAATAAGCTTCTTATACCACTGCTAATTGATAATAAGAATATTGGAAATTAATAGATGGTACAGCAGCTTTTATTAAATAATCGCAAAAAGAAACCCCGTTTCTCCTAGAAGGATAAGATAAGGTGTACTTCAAGTTTAATTCTCTTAGTAATCTGCCTCTTACCTGAAGAAAGTCATTTCCATCGAAGATCTCCCAAATTGAAAAAAGGTGAGATATTTCAGTTTGAAAGCCCAACTACGAAGAAATCATGGAACAGACTCCGTCATCGCCTAGGAGAACACCTAGTCGCAAGAAGACATGCTTTTCTACGATACATACGACACAACAAAATCGGCCTGCTAAAAATTTGCAAATGATCTGGCATAATGTTGACTTCTTATCTACTGCCTTTTACTAGCTTTCGCGGCAGGGTATTATTTGTGAAACAAACACAGCCGCGCTGAGATATTTCCAAAACTCCGGACGGCAGTATCTCAGCATCATTGTGGTTGTTTCACAAATAATACTCTGCCATGAAAGCTACTAAAGGCAATAGATAAGAAGTCAACATTGTGAATTTCAACTATAGCCTCAACTTAACTGGGTTCAAAGCCAATTTGGACACCCCAGATCGATCCCGTTGATGGGTGATTGCTGAGGTCAAAAATTGATAGAACTAGAGAAAGACGAAACGAAGGACCAGCATGGTGTGGTGGTGAGCGCGTTACTCCCTGGAAAGGAGAATAGCGAGTTCGTTCCCCACCGCAGACACCTGCAGTCCGGAATTTTGCAAATATCTCAGCATCATTGTGATCTGGCATAGTTTGTTGAACTAGAAACGCACAAGATAAATATAACTCCGGTTGGAGATTTCGTAATTTTTCCTTAGGACGTATCATTTAAGCTTGAAGTATGTTTGGCTTGAGAAAGATAAATGAAGTTCCACCTTGACGTATACAGTTTTTGCTTTTGCGACATTACAGATGGAGAAAAAGTCAGTAATGTATAGGAGCTGGTGATGCCTTATGGGGAGGAAACAGTAACCAAACACTGTTCACTGGTATTGGGCCGCGAACCGATGTACGTGCTCTTAAGGATCTGACCGAGAAACTTAATGACGGCTCATCATGGAAAGCTCTTGGATGTCGACTGGTAGACCCGAGGTATTATCATTATTATATTTATCCCTTTCAGAAAAACATGAAAGAATGGTGCTGTCGCAAGCACTACCCTTTGTTTTACTTCCGTCCTTGGCGAAACCTTTTCTCCTGCTTTAATCAATGTACAACGACCTGATTTAGTGTGAAAGGTATACAAAATTCCTCATTTAATGTTTTTTTCATCTTCCATTTTAAAGAGGTGCGTGCAAAAATTTTTTTAACCGGATGTCTCAAGCGCGTTTCATGAACTTTCCTGGTCTTCTCCCACAGAGTGATGTGTTTTCAACATAATGACACTCGTAAGTTCTATTTCCTAGTATGGAGTGGTGCAGAAAATGCTGTGGTTAAAAGATGCTGTGCAACACACGCACTAGATCCACTGGTCTGACCTCTTTCAAAGTCTTATGTTCTATGTGAATAAACTGATACCAGGCCTGTCTAGGAAAGGCGCTTTCCTATTCACAGAAGCCGTTAACTATTCGGCATGACGACATCCGCAAGTTCCGAAGCAAATTTTTTTCGCTGAACTATACCAGAGTCAAAGAAAGAGCGCCCAGCATTTAAGGCCGTGGAGGAAATCAATTTCTCAATTGTAGCCGAATACAAGCGCTAACCTGGAGTTCGCGGATGCGAGGTAACGAAGCGAATGAGAGAAGTTCTCCGATCCTCACTTTACGTGTCAATAAGCCGTGTAAAAAAATAAAAACCATAAACAATTGCGCAAGTCTTCTAAGTAACTGACAACTGACGGGAGCCACAAGCATATCCACCTCTGTTTTTGAGGGTTGCTCGTAGGAGTCACTTGAGTCACATGAATCCTTTCCGTTACACCTAATTTTTTCCACTAGCCGTCGAACACTATGTCTCCACATTACTACTTACGAATGCATTAAACTGCAATTGACTAAACACCGAAAAGCCCTAGGAATGAAAGTACTCACTTAGAGTCGGGCCTACGATGTTAACGCAGTCTGTTTTGCCTCGTAACACATCGAAATTATGCGCTGGATAGTAACGCGCCCTAACGCAAAAGGTTCCTAACTTCTGTTCAGCTACGAGATCAGGTTCTAGATGGAAAGTAGAGCACCGAAAGACCTGTGGCTTCCAATAAATAATTGGTCGGTAATAAATTCCTCCTAGATCGGTAACGTCTTAAAGAGAAATAAAGGTGGTTGGCGCTAAACTACTTACTTAAAGTCAATTGCTGTTATCAAGAAACGTCTTCTACAGTATAAAAACTTAATCGGCGACTCAGTCGTCTTTGATCATTTGTTGGGTTTCGGTCGTTCTCGCAGCAGATTTCCTGAAAAGCACAACTTTTGGTCTTTTTCAACTTTTACTTTTCAAGCCAGAGCACATTAGTTGAAAAAGAACAGAATTCTACATATGAAATTTTTGACTAAATTATCTATTATTAATTAATTAATTATTAATTTAGGTTTTACCATATCGACACCGCTTTTTGTCCACTCAATGAGGAAGTGGCCATGTACTATCCACACGCGTTCGATCATATCACTCAACATAACATGCGAAACGAGACAGGCCTCATAGCCGTTAGTCTGCAACACGATTACTGTAAGGATATAATAACGGAATAATAATAAGTTTAGCGAAATCAAATAGGTTTCTGGTGAGGAAGCTCGTAACTTCGCTTGTAATGCGGTGGTGGTTGGTGGAAATGTCATTATGCATCACAAAAACGATGATATTGCGAATAACCTGGAAAAGCTCGGTTTTCACGTAATGTGAGTCTAGCTGGACTTTACCAGCGTCTTATTACATTTTACTCATTCATATGTATCATTCATTCAAAACACTTTTACTCAATCGTGAGTTTCATTGTTTCGAAAATCACTTAAATCTGTCTAAATTAATATAAAACAAACGCTCTAACCCCTCATGGTGTGTGGTTTCTGATGCAGCTTAACTACTTCTAGCATCGTGAGAAATATTTTTTGACTGTTACAATAAAGGCGATATCATATGGTGAAAGCTGAAAATTCAGGGAATAGACATTCGCTCTTTAGGGAACTAGAGTGTGAGCAGATTATCTCATTATTCAGAGGAAAGAATTCCCTCATTTTTGAAGACGAGAAGTTATTCGGTGAAGGAAAAGCTCTGAGATTTTAGCAGCTTCTGCGCACTAGTCCTACCTAACGCTGCTGTATTGAGGCTCTTCCCTTTCTCGTGGAAAGGAGAAAAAGCCATTAAATTAAAAAAAGTAGCAAAACCACAATTAACTGAGATTTTTCACTTCATTAGTCACCTGGTGGGAAGACGTCGTTCTTTACAACATCGACGGAGAATATGATCGTCTCATTCAACGTTAGCGTTAGCGTTATGAAATCTGTGAGCTCGAAAGTCACAAAGAGACGTTTGTCTTCAGGAGCCCTCGAGCTAATACGCAAGTATGGATTCGTACGAGCTAGCTAGCCGCCAACCCACGTCCGAAGTAGCAAAACTATCCAGAGAGATGATAAAACATGTTAAAGAGAGAATGTCAATATTTGTGGTCAAAGCTGTAGACGGCGAGAAAAGAATTTGCTATGCCTAACGAAACCTTGCCAAATAAGAACCATAGGTGATTTCACTCCGACGACTTGACGGGACGGTTACAAGTTTTAGAAAGACAATGGAGGAAATCATTCACGATTACTACTCGGGTTTTCTCACTGGCTACTTCCTCGTGCCCTAATACAAAATACGGCAGGACGGTTATGTCGTCCGGCCGGAACACTCTTCCAAAACCCGAAATCCTACATGTTTGATAAAGAATCGAACAGCATCTGTTCTTGAAAGGATAAGATTTTAATACCTGAAGAGCCTTCCGTTAGTCCTCATTAACAGACTGGCTCGGCTTTTTGCACTTTGCTCGTCGGATTAGAAGGATCGTATTCAATGGAAGCCTAGGACAACCAGGAAGTGTCTGCTCAGTATATGAAGGTTCTTAGCGAGCTATATAAAAATTTAACGACTATGACATCACTATTCTACAACGATACCAACATCGATTTCAAAAGAGAGATTAGGCAGGGCAGTACCATTTCGCCAACATTATTCAACGCAACGTTCGAGAACGCCACAAGAACACTGGAAAGGGAAAACGGAATAGTGAAGATTAATAGTTGGTAATTACACCATCCTCGCTTTGCTGATGATATTGTTCATGTAGCACCAAGCATTGCCCAGACAGAACGAGTGATTGCCGACTTTTATAAAGTTTGTGGAAAGAGTGGTCGTCGACTAAATCTCATAAAAACAATGTTCATGAGGAACACGTTGGCTAAGTATGCTCCATTTATGAATAATAGAACAAATGTGTTCAAATGCTCCAACTACACCTATGTAGGTCGAGTAATCATTCTGATGAAAGTCCTAGCTCCAGAGTTGAGCACGAAGAAACTATCGAATATTGATTCTTTCAGAAACGCTGGCGAAGTAGTAAAGAGAATAAAAAAACCCGAGCCCGTGCCCACCTTTTGACCACACTTTTCTCCGTTTCTAAAGATATGCGTAAGAAATCTGGTCACTATGTAAGCAGGATGAAAGATCACTCAGCGTTCTAGAAAGTGCGGACGAAAGGACGATGTTAAGAGTACCTCGAATCACGCAAATGAGGAAAGGGCTTCAGCGATCCGACCTAAGTAACCGGTCAAAAGTAAGAGTCGCCGTTCTATAATCGAACTGTCTATGATAAGGTATGCTGGGCACGTAATGAGTATAAACGAGGCCGATGGACATGATCCGTGAATGACTGTATTACTCAGGATGTTCAACGTACTGCAAGAACATCATCGAACGGATGGTTGGAATATCTCACAAAACTTTAGAAGAAGGGCATGATGCTCATTATGTTCCTAGAGCGAGCAGAACCAACTCGGCTACTCTGGCCCGTGAATGAGAAAAATGGAAGACTTGCTTTCGCCTACTTGAGTCACTCGACGATTAACGGAGCAATGGGTGATACTGGTGATGCAGAAAGCGGATAGCACGGTGATAGTAGTGCTGCCTTTCATAAGCCGAACGCTCCTATGTACCAATCCATGACCTAGTTCTAATTCGGCCAGACGTGCAAGCATTTCATCACATCGGGGTCGGAAAATTTCTAATAAATTTATAAGGAAGCTCATCACTCTTTGTAGTTTTTGTGGAAATGCACTAGTACGGTTACCGAACGATTAAAGCGAAACTGTACTCAAATAGCATTCGAAGAAATTTACATTCGTGAAGGAAATGAAGAAAATCTCAAGCAGCAGTCGGACCCACAGTCGAAGACTTGAACATGTTTGTGGACGGTGGATACAAGGAAACAGAGCGAGCCCAGTGGGTACTGGTATTCGCACAGTGCGATAAATACCACGCAGACCCATGTGGAAAATATGTGTAATTCTTTGTCATTTTTCAAAACATGTGTCTAAACTCTGTATGGGAGTGATTTAAGAGTGCGGAAAACATTGCGTCGCTTCTTTATGGAATAACAAGTCGGAAATTAAGCCTGGTCTTCCGACTAGCGAAAAAAGAAAACTACTGAAATCTTCATTTTAAAATAAGGTACAAGCGAGCTATTGCCATTCATAAAAGATAAATGATAAATCTTTCGGCGTTGATCAATCTCTGAGGGATGTACTATGCATTCGACTAAATTTACCACCATTAGAGGTGATCGAATGCATATCTGGCCTTTACAATGATTTGCGGTGGTCTACCGATGTATCGAACCAGTGCTGCTATCCTCCCAGACAAATCTGGTACAAGTTTGCTGACTGTACAGTAATAGGTGCTGTGGGCCATGAGCGCGGGAATCAATTCCATGTGTGTGTTGAAGGCCGCCTTCAAACACTGGGCTACATGCGACTCACTCCCATTTATTCGGGATGAAATGAGTAGAGATCGATCATGGAGAGATTTTGGTGAGTCATATACATAGAAGAATTCCGAATTTGTGGGACTCTACATGATATACTGTCCCCGATAGTCAAAACAGAAGATCTTATTTTGGCTCTTAACTGTGGGAAACTAATTGTGGTGAAGATCTTAGAACTCCCGAAAACGTTCACCTCAGGATTCCAACGAACACTAAGCTCGTTCAGCGTTCATGAGTACGTCATCTACTCAAGCTAACGCCGAGACTTCACGCGAACTCAACCACCTTTGTGGATGACGTTTGCAATGTGGTGAAACGAATCGACATATAAGTGCGAATCATTTAAGCACTGGTTATTTAGAAGATCTATGACAAGGGCGCGCGTGGCGCAGTGGTCGGAGGAGCCCTGCAACACACACGTGGAATCGATTTCCTCACCCATGACCCGCCAAGCCTTCCATCCCTTCAGAGTCTGCAAATTGGTACCAGACTTGTCTGGGAGGATAGCAGCACTGGCTCGATACATCGGTAGGCCACCACGAGTCATTGTAGAGGCCAAATATGCATTCATTCACCTCCAACGTTGCTTAATAAAGTCGAATGCATGGCGCATCCCTCAGGGATTGATCAACGTGGAGAGCTTTATCCTTTTTTATGAGCACAAGACTTTTCAGCGTGTTACGCTGTAAACTTTATCCTTACTGAATAAAAACTGTACTACTAAGGAGAAACGCATTAGATGGGCCTCAAGAAATAAATTGGTTTCCAATTTTTGTGCATAGAGTGTGCAAGTAATAATGAAAATTTTAGCTATGCCTGTGCTTTCCATCATTTTTTTCTCCACATGAAACTCACGGGTTTTCGATTGCTTTTGTTTAAACACATGTCGTAATCTTTTTTTCTTTGAAGAATTTGATAGAGTCATTTTCAGTTTCGTCGACATGAGTGAGTTCATTAAGAGTGGAGGATCAGCCAAGTGCTGTACGCTGGCCATCTGATAGCCCTATTTTTAGAGCATCTCTTCTTCGAATACTTTTCGCTCTCCTCAATTTACAAAATACCTTTTCCTCTGCGCAGATGCTGATATGTGGTGCAACTGAAAATTGTTCACTGCATAATCGTACGTATACAATTCCAATTGATAAATAAAGCAATTCCCATACCGACTTTCTGTTAACCTCGGAATTCATTGATAATTCGATGTTTTTCTTCAGCCAGCAGACACAAGGCTGTTATTACGGCTACTTACTTACAATACTTACAACATGCTAATGTTGTTAATACTTACAACAAATAAACGGCTCTTAAGGAGGCGAAACCGTCGAAACGTCAGCTATTGTATCCTAATAAATTCTATAATAACAACCTCGTATCTGCTTATTGAAGAAAAACATCGAGTAAATAAAGTGTTAGTCGTTAATTGACTCCTCAGGGAAAAGCTGTGCTTTCTACTACATTCGGGCATCAAAGAAGTTGTTCGATTCATGTATAGCTTATACAACGACTTGAAGTGGTCTACCAAATGCCGAACTCAGTATTTTTCCACCCAAACTACGCTGGCGCCAATTTGACTACTACGGAGAAGGATGGTGGACCCCATGACCTCACGGAACGGGATCGAATGAACGACCGACCAAGTGCGTATTGTGCGACACCTCTGAGCACTGCTTCACCTGCACCGACGTGTTCCATGAGTGGTTAAAAAAAATGATAAATAAGCATGGAGCACCTTAGTTGTTATTGATCATACCAGCGTTTTAGATATATAAATCAAAAGCCTTTTCGAAAAATAGTTAATCGCTCCCATTTGATTAGCAATTTGTTGATTAGAAGAATTTTTTCACTGGAATCTCGAAACAGCCGTATTAAAGCCGCCCATTCCTCA